GAAATATAAGATAATCGTAATACGTTCTGTCACCCGTAAGAAATATAAGATAATCGTAATACGTTCTGTCACCCGTAAGAAATATAAGATAATCGTAATACGTTCTGTTGCCCGTAAGAAATATAAGATAATTGTAATAAATTCTGTCACCGGTAAAATATATATATCATAATTCCACTTCAGAATATCTCAACAAGTTACAAATACCACTTCTGTATAATAAAGAGTAAACTTGTTGAGAGAAATTAATACAAAGATATGGAAAAAAAATAAACACTTGAAGAGAGCAAAAACTAAATGTTACAACATGAGTATTGCCAAACGATAAGTGATAGTTCAGTAGAGTTCAATACAGGGAGTCACATGCATCAAGAGAGTGTCACACTCTTATTGGTGGAGGGTTATTGCATAATGATTTGCATGTGAGATACATTTGAATCAGTCAATTCAAATATGTGTGGGAGCTTCAAGGGTTGTGGCATATGAAAAAACTTTTTGCATATAGAGGGCAGCACTGAATGAGAAAGCCATTTATGTGAGAGGAGGTAACTTTCCATATTGGAAAAATTGCTTAGTATTAATCCTTCCTAGACAGGCTATCTGTTCTGAACTAGACACTACAATCAAAGTTAACACATAAAATGTTATTAATCATCAATAAAATTTGATTACTTACTTGTTTTCGAAGCACTGATGCCACATGACATTCAGTACACCCTGCTCCATACAGGCCAACAGGTTTAAGAAGCAACTGGTAGAGAACATTTACAGCCTGCTGACAAACAATCTGAAAAATAAAACATGCATTGTGATAATCTGTTATTGCATTTAAGTTAATATTACCTAATTTCCATCAGGCTTTACTGAATGTTTCATAACCAATACAAACTAGAAATTTAGAATCAAAATAATACAGAAAGTTAAGGAAACTAGAAAATGATTTTATAAGGAATTGCCCATGTCTACAGTTTATCATCTGACTTAAGTATCTTAAATATCTTCATAGCAAAACTACTGTTACGATAGCGGAAGTCACGCGAAGAAGGATCGTGACTTAGCGGACAACCTAACGAGTGTCCCAGCGTTTGCTAGATGCCCTCTTTTTTAGTATATAAGCCAGAGATAGATTGAAGAGAGATAATTGAGTCAAGTGAACAGTAAGCAGTAAGCATGTGTTTATAAAAGTAGTCAAGTTAAAGTGACTGTGGAAATTCTATGTGTTGCAAAGTTGTAT